TTGTGCATAGATCAGTTCCTCACTAAAGTCTTTCCAGGTCTAAGCGAACTATAAGAGTGCCACAAGATTCAGAGTGAGAAGGAGGAAGAGTAGAGCACAAACATTTTAGTGCATTTCTAAACAGCAACTAGATTAGATGAACATACAATAGTGAAATTTATATGCAGTGCTTAGGTATTTCAGTATCCCCTTCTATTGCCCAGTTAGTCAGAAATAAGTAGAGAAAAATAAGTTGAAGGCTAATGGAGCTTTATTTACAACCAATTAAAGTTAAAAAAAAAAAAAAAGAGGCATATACTATTCTTGTTATTTTCTTTCCGCTACTTACCATGTCAGGCTGAGAAAACTATTTTACTTCTGTTAACTCACCTGTGAGAAAGCTTGGTCATATTGTCTCCACTTTTGTAACTGATGTGCATCTGAATTATGGGAAAATACTAGCATAAAATAATTCCTGGAAAACATTAACGCTTTCCCTTTAAAACTCTCTGAAGAATTCAAGTGTAAGCATTGTTGTTCTTTGTATCCTCAGCTCAATATAAGCAAATTTAAGTGGAGACCAGTCTAACCGTGAAATACTCCTTACTGCTAGTTGTCAGATATTCAGCTACCTGAAAATGTATCAAGACTTCACTTCATAGGATAGCGAAAGCAGAAGTGATATGTAATTACTCTCACTTATTAACAACACCATAATTACAGACTGGCAAAATAATCAGTCTTTCTAGGACCCACCGCTTGTCCTCTATGTCAGTCAGAGCATGATAATTACACCACAATCTGCTAAATGCAATTATTCGGCAATATACACTTAGTGCTAGCTATTACCATACTTCAAGCCATTTAAAGTCTATACAATACATCACTTAAAGACAGTGAAGTACTTTCAAACACAAAGTAATCTTTATAACAACCCTCTAAAGAGAGAAAAAGCCTCCCTTCAGAAGAGTAGGGAGAGTAAATGAGAGGTGAAAGAGACCGGCCAATACCATAGATTTATTTAGATGCCACTGTAATACATAGACTGATGTGGAGCTCAGTACTGCACAAAAAAAAAAAAAAAAGGGGTCAAAAAACTGACTTCAACTGAAGGCTGCAAAGGTTACTCTTCACACTGGGAGACTGCACCAGCCGCCTCCTGAGTCTAACATACTGTGTAGTGATGCTTCACCAGTCAAACAAAACACGACTCCGTTTTACACTGCTGACTTTGTGCATTCTTCTGTCCAATGACTTTGTTGCAAATAAAACTGCGGGTTGTATTAGTGACTAAGCTCACCTAATGTGACAGAACACCATTAAAATCTATTCCAGATAGTGCTGCAATTAACAGCTGAAAACTAACAAACTCAAACTATCTTGACCCTTGAGACCTGTCTGCACTCACACACAATACACCTCAATTTTAATTCCCACACCCCTAACATGGTAATGACAACAAGCAACCACCTCAGAAAGTTCTTCTGTTGATTGTATAGGGATAGCAAAGTCGCTGGTCATTCAAAGGTTAATGCTAACTCAATTTTAGAAAAGCAAACCTGAAAACGGAACAGCATTGTTCACTCTGCTGATCACACTTCCTGCACAGCAGCACAGCCAAGTTGTAAGCTACACTATTTCAAGAGTCTAGAGATACAGTCTGAGAAAAAGCAGTGAATCACATGAGATCCGAATGTTTAAAGTATGAGGACCATTTTGTTAGCCTTGCATGAAGAGCTCTCTCCCAAATTACCCAATTCCTTCCCATGCTAAACAGCCCCCAGTGTTGGCAATTCTCTGGCTCCCTATTCCATGACAGATTCTGTCTCAGGTCTTAACTATTAGGTAAGTCCCAAATCACCTCTGGCAACCCTAATCTCTAGCAATCAGAAAACACAGCCAGAAGAGACCTCATGAGGCCATCCAGGCCCTATCCTTACCCCTAGGAAGGATCATATGTCATTCCTGACAGATATTTGTTTAATCTGTTCTTAAAAGCCTCCAGTGATGGAGATTCCACACCTTCCCAAGACAATGTATTCCCGTGCTCAACTATCTCCGCTGCTGGAACATTTTCTTAAGGTTTAACAGAGATATTTTTCTCTAATTTAAACACATTATTTCTTGTCCCATTCAGTACAGATATGGAGAACAGATTATTAAACCTCATCCCCTTCCCTTACAACAACCATCTGCATAATTGAAGACTTGTCTCCTCTCAAGTCCTCTCCAGATTAAGCCGTTAACTGCAACCTCTGTATTTCTCCATAGGTTCCAACCTCACCCTCATGAAAGCCATGCAAACTGCCAAACATCTACATATAATGCCTAATAACACTTTTCAACAAAGCTGTGCCTTTCCCTTGCTCTTCTGTTTCTGACTTTACTTACACTTCACATTTAAACTGTACTTAGCCTATCCACTCAAGCAACCTCAAGGGAGAATTCTCTTCTAGTGCTGCTGTGACTGATGCATTGGACAGCAACATCACAAAAAGCACATTCTAGGCAGCATTTTTGATTAAGCCCGCTAGTATCATACATACTAGTTTATTGTCCCTCCCTCCATGACAACTTTTAACTTGACCTGACTATTCAAGTCTGGTATTCTGTACCCAATACCCACAGCCTCCAGAGTTTTCACTCACTGCTAGATTTGGTACCTAAATGCTGTTAGGTGAACGCTAACATCTCAGCTGCAACTGCAGTGCTCTACTGTGTTTAAGAATGCAATGTGACTTCCATCTAGAGTCTCGTATCTGAATACAGTGCTTAACCATTTCACTTTTCCAGATTAATTTCAGCGCACAGTTCAGTTGCTGTTTTGATTTTTTTTGAATGTTAGAAATAGCAGATATTATTAGTTTTAATCTCAAGGAGCTTTAGATTTTAACCTTAGCTAGTATGTCTTCAAAGATTTTGTACATTATGCTATTATTTCCAAATTCAGCTACAGCTATAAAAACCTCATGTCAGCCTGCCCTCTCCTGGTAAGCCACCATACTGCTACCACAACAAGATTCAACCCAAGTAACTATTGCAATCCGGTTTTCAAACCTAAAATTTTCATTGTGACAAAAGCAAACCGGAAAATAGAACATCGTGGAAGCTGTTTTGATAGCTTCAGTTATGTTTCTAAAGCAGCATAAGATCAACAGCATTTAAGTAGTGAAGTTCCTTTCAAGTTGCCTTAGGACTTCTTGTATTTGGAAAAACTGATGATGTCTGTAAAGTAAAACATGCACAAAAATGAAACTATTCTGTTTTTAAGCTTTATAAAAGCAGCCAAGTACATGAAGTATTTTATTCCACATCAGTAAGGTTAAAAACAAGGTCACAGAAGAGATCATTTTCAACAGAAAGCTATTTCCTTCAAGCTGGCACAGGTATTTCACTAGGGCTGAAACAGAACTGTATGAAAAATGAAAGCAACAGCAAATGTTTAAGTAGACCACCTACAGTCATCACTTTTTATTACACTGTTCAGACTAGAAAAATGAAAAGAGTAAGATGACAGATCAACCACTGAATAACATGCACGGTATTTAGTACACACACACCAAAGATTGGAAGTGCCCAGAAATGAAGTACAGCTTTATTGTATGATGGATGTTCCACATTCCTTAGCCAATTTAATTTTTTTAAAATTGATCTGATATACAATAAAGATTTAAAAACTTTTTTTTTAATTAAAAAAAAATGACCAACCTTCACACCAGAGAAGAATTCATTAACTCTTTTCAACACAAAATTTATTCTTACTTATAGGAACTCTACCCCTGCTTGTGCCCCAAAGGTAAAGTTTTCAGAAGATGCTAACAGCTTCCCTGCCTTCTATGCCTCCCCTTCAAGCCAGAAGTGATTTCTTTCTTATTTCCAGATAATCTCAAGAGGTTTTTTAATTATATTTTTGAAATCTGGAAGAAAATTCATGCAGATTTCAAAAGCAATTTATAAGGAATAATCAAGCACATGAGAAACACTAACACTTCAAGCAATTCTAGCTGAAAGGGCATACTTTACAACATCATAGTTTAACTACTATTCACATTTTATCTACTTCAATTAAACTTCCAAAATATAACAAAATCTTTAGCTTGAATCCTGTTCTTTCAAAAAGAGGAAAGAGCCCTATCAGCAAAATATGGATTAGTATCAACTCCCAGTCATCCAAAAAGTAACTTGTCACCACAGACCATATTTTTGAACTATCAAATTTGTTCCTCTTAACACAGCTGAGAGCCACACGTGTTTGCTGACATGTCTCCATTTAGCAACTTCACATACTGATTGTGCATTTGAGAGCAGGGCAAGTGTAGCAAGACCGTTGACTAAACACATCCAGTCTAACAATCACAACTAAGTTTCAAGGGCAAGAATGCCACACTACTGTGCGGGCACCACACCTGCAAACATTTATCTAAACACAAGAAAATTCCAGACTGTGACAACATGCATACAAATGCACACACAAACATTATTCAAATTTTGTATATTGTCTTACTGCAGTATCTTGCAACAAAATTCACTAGCCCCTAAGAGCAACGCTTCCAGCTGAGCACAATTAGTCTTTGCCTTCTTGAAATGACTGAACTTGGTGTTGCAGAGAAAAATCAGTCATTTGTCGAGTTTTTTTACAATACTAACAGTGTTTAATTGCTATTGCTCTGTAGACAGCACTAAAGCATACAAACATGTAAGCAAGGATGTAAACTGCAATAAAGAGGTGACGTAAAATACAGTTCATCATGGGAGAAAAATTTATTATCCTCTTGATTACCTGCCATGACTGTTTACCAGACCAATGCTCCGAGTCAAAAGCTAGGTCTTCCCTGCAGTTCTGATCTTCAAGCATTTTAGGCATCAAGACAAGGAAAATCAGTTCTAAGTATCCAGAAAATGAATAAGGAAATAGTAAGTAAGGAAATACAAGTGGGAGAGGGAAGAAAACAGCACTTGTGAGAACATAAGAATCTAATACTGACCTTCACTTTAGATAATCAGAGGTAGCTGAAACCTCACTAAATGTTAGAGTTATTTTCAAGAGGTATTTCTACTCCTTCATAGTGTTTTTGGTTACTCCTGTCCTTCTTATATACAGAATTTGTTATGCTCGTTTTCCGGGTTTGAGACCAAGTTCTTGTTTCTTGAGGCGTGGATACACACATGCTTTTCCTTTTCCATCTTCTGCAGGGACCATCAGCAAGATGAACAGAGTCATTGTTCTCCTTCCCTGATGCTGAAAACTGGATGAGATTTTGTTCTCTATGATGAATATTCTCAGATTCTGTAAGGATGGATGTGCTTATTCTTCTCCTGATTTTGCAAGCAGAAGCTAGCAGGTGAGGCTTCTCTTCAGTCTCACTGGGTACTTGAATCCATGCAAGTCCTTCAATTTCTGCATCTTTATGTAATCTCATGCTGCGCCTCACTCTTTTTTCACCACTGTTATCGCTCTTTCTTCTAAAAGGCTGTATGGAGTCACTTTTCAGCTGAGGAGCAGATAAAACTTCTTCCACATTAAAAGCAGAAACTGGAAGATTGTTTCCAGTTATTTCCACTTTTTCAACAGGAGGAATATAGATGGCACTACTTCTTCTTCTTCTACTTCTTGGTGGACTACCTCTTACAGCATCTTTTTGCGGACACTGAGTTCTTTGGGCACCCTCACGTACACCTGTGTCCTGCTGTTCCAGAAATTCTAGCCCCGTTAGCCACTCTGCCTTATTTAGGAGATTTCCTCGTAATTTCTCATTTTCTAATAAGGAATCACTTTCTTTTGCCTCTTTTACATATGCAATCTCTTTGTCTTGTTGGAAATAGTCAGGTGTATCAGAAACACATTTCGCATCTGGCACAATGTTTATAAGCTGGAAAAAAAAATTTAAACATAGGCAAAAGGTAATCCATAAAAACTGGTTTCAAACAGCTGACAACTAAACAACTGCTACTGTCTCCCTCGCCAAGTCTAGGCATTCTCAAAAAACCTCAACCAACACACACATACAATCCTGTATCTTGGAATCTGCTCCAATGTGGGGCCAGGCTCCGGCTGAACTCTTGTTCAGTTGAGTTCTGAATACCTCCTTCCAAGGACAGAGATTCCATGGCCTCTCCAGGCTGGCTGTTCCAGTGTTTAGTCACTCTTGCAGGTTTTTTTCCTTTCCCCAAAACATTTCTTTTTTGATCCAACAACAACAAGCACAATTCTAACTTATTTTCTAGTAGTATTCTTAAGCGTATCAGTTACCTCATGATCAATGCCAGCAACAGACTTCAGATCACCATCCGACCCCTGAAGCACTGCATCGCTGGAGCTGCTGGCTTCTACACTGTCCAGGTGGGCCTTAGAGCTTGAATGCGCATCAACTGCCCAGAACTTTTTCCCTCTTTTTCTTTCAAGCACTGGCTTCTGTTGAACATCCTGGCGAGCATTTCTGGATTTGGCATTATCTAAAAATACATCCTCTGAATTAGAATAAACACATGGTTACTTGACTCTACTTGTGAATGTACAAAATCTTTCTTTAAATATTACAACAAAAGAGCTACTGCACATCACTTAACTATTCATGCCCAACTTACCAGTTTTAAAGACTGAAAATACCAGGTCCAGTCAAAGTATAGAGGGGCTTGGTTTGGGTTTTTTTTTGGTCAGCATTATACTGGAGTCCAACAAGAGTTAAATTTATCCAGTAGATTACTAATCTATTAGATTCTCTAGACTCTACTATTACAGAAGCAATTAAAACCAAAAAATGTATACCGGGCTCTTTACCTACATATAGAGCTCAAGATACCTATCAACAGCATTTTTATGTAACTGTTGAAACAAAAAATTAAAAGCAACAGAAAGAGCGAGGCAAAACAAAACTAAAAACCCCATTACCTGAAAAAAACGCATTTGCCTTTGGTGAGTTTGGAGATGAGGTAGAAGAGAAAACCTCCGGAATTTCAAGGATAGGGCTGAGAAGAGGTTTCTTAGAAGCCATCTCTCTTTCCCCATATAAAGATTTTTTCACTTTTTTCTTTCTTCTTTTCCCATAGCCTGTACGTTTTATTTTCTGAAAAGATTGAGAACACTGAATAGAGCACAATGTAATTATAATGATCCTGTACAATATTCTCCAACAAATAAGTGACACCGTTACTGGATTTTGATGGATAACAATCATTTCCCCTAAAATGGAGGTTCCACTCATTCTGCCATCTACAAATTAATCTAACAACTCAAAGCAAAGAGATTACTTCTCAAACATGAGATCTGATTTTTGTTTAATTTAACCACATCTAGAAGCCAAAGCAATTAGTCTTTCAGCTCAAAACTACAGATCCTTCATTCACGCTTAGTTTGAAAAGGAATACGTGCTTCCCCTTCCAATACATAAAAGCAAAAATCTTTCAGAAGTCTCACAGCTTTACAATACTTAACTAGCACATAACTGAGCAAGCTCAAAGAACTACTACTGCATACACTTGGTAAGAGAAGAACCATAAACTCATTTTCCATCCCTGAAGTCTGAAAAGTGACACCCCCCCTTGCCCCTCACCTCCATAAAATATCCTTTTTGCTCTGCAAGTATTTAAACCCTGATAGCCAGCCTTAAGCAACAAGAATGAGAGGTGTGGCGGTAAGTACAGGAAAACAAGATAGGCATGAAGAAGAGAATATTGGTAGCAATGGGAAACATAACAACCTGTAGAAAATTTTTACTACAAAGATCACAATAATCACGTAAAACACCCAAGAAGAGACACCTGGATAGAGAAATAAAGGCAGCATTCGTCATCTGCAGTGGGCTGTCACTTACTTGTGTCTTTTTGGTAGCAGATGTGGTTTCATGATTTTGTCTTTGAATCTTTTTCTTTCTTGGATTTTTAGTCTCTTTAGCATTCTTAGTATTTGTGGCTCTTGAGGTGCTAAAATCACTCCCCTCTGAAATGGTGCTACACTGTTGGGGAACATGAATTCGAAGTTGTTGGGGTCCACACATACATGCGCATGCATATGCTTGCTTTTTTAAAAATACACCACAGTCCAACAGTTGTAAGAATCACATTGTAATTAGTCACCATTATTTCATATATGAGGTCACAAGAGCTGGACACAGTTGGAAATTCAGATTTATAGAGCTAGTCTCTTCACACATTACAATATAGTTTTATTTGTACAAAAAGGACATTTTAATGAGAAAATAGTACATTTTCATCTTCAGCTATTTCTTTCAGAGAAGATGGGTTACTTTTTTCACATTGCCTTTTTTTTTTGCCTTCCCCCTCCAATAAAGCACACTAGAACGATACAACACTGAAGTCTGAAAGCATTTCTGACAGAAATTCTTGTACAATAAATTCTACGCACATTAAAATTCCAGCAACCAGAAGAGATACATGTATGATATTCTGTCTGCCTTACGGTGAGCAGACAAAAAGGTTAACAAGACTGAAGACCTTCAGCACTGGACTTGGGCACACAATGGCATTTTCAGTGATACCAAAAGTCATTAGAGCTTGCAGAATAAACCTGACTTTATTAGTCTCTATCTTGTGTTCCTGCATCTTAAAGAAATTAAAACAAATACAAAAATCAGACAGAAAACTTTGTTTCCATTCTCCTCAATTTTCTGTGATTATAATTGTTTAGATTCCCACGAGTGAAGCCCCTGATTCTATGAAGTCTATGAATAAATCTCTTGTAAATGTTGTCAGACTATTTGGAAAAGTTCCTGGAAAATTCAATAGAAATAGTAAAGTTCACTGTCAGGCTATAACCAAAAGTCTTTTTAATAACTGGAAAATCACTTTCATTCAAAAATGAGATTGCCTTAGAACAATTACCTGCACTAACATGAGATATTTCCATATACCTGAATATATATAATCCTCATACCTGAGGCTGTGAAAGCACTTCTAAGCATCAGGAAGTATAAAAAAATAATAATTCTGTCTAAAGAAGTTAAAAAACCGATCAAACAAACATCATCACTAAAGAAACTTACCTTCCTTCTAGTAGAAAAATGAGTTGTTATATCAGATTTGTCAGTTTCTGCTATTACATATGAAGAAAAAAAGAGTATCAATTCAGTTTCAACACAAAAAGTTAAGCACATTGAAGAAATTATCCACATAATGTCTAGCATTATGCACAGTGTGTTTAGTCATCTTGGCCTTGAGTAACATTTTCTATGTAAACTATCAAACATGGCAAGAGAAAAAAAAAAACTTAACAGCTTGCTTTACAAAACAGAGAAAAACAAGACTTGTGAGGATTTGGTAACAAAATAATTAGCACTTACACAGCTTTCACAGAGATACATACACGCAGATGCACAACCCCCTTTCAATTTTTTTTGTTCTTGTTGTCTTACTTGCCATTTTAAAACCATCAAAATTACAATACCAGAATCAAGATAGGAAACCCAATTACTTAAAGCAGTAAGTCTAATTAGATCAGCCACTTTCACAGAAAGATACTACAAGGTCAAATAACATTCAGTTAACCTAAACAACAGGTAAACACTGCAGCTACCGCAAAGACCTTCACAAGGAAGCAAGAGCACTTAAATTTTGGCAAAATAGGAATATATCTCCTGTATAAACACAAACAAACAAAACACTCAGTTTTCAGATATAAAAAGATGTATTGTCTAATGACAAAAACACATGTTGGAGTTACCTTCTGCACTTTCAACAGGTAAGACATCTTCAGCAGCAACAGAACCCTCCACTAATTCTTGAAGAGGCTCAACACATTCCTTTAAACAAAAGAGTTTTTTAGCAATGTATGGTACCAGAAACATATTTATAAAAACACTTTGTCCATTAGTGTTCGGAACAGCCAGGCAATTTTGCTTTTTTTCCTTAAAGAATGTTAGAGCTCATTTGCTATATATGACAAAAAGAAATACAGTATCAAAAACATATGAATAAGCCAAGGCAAAAACTTCTTGTGTGCTACTCAGCTTTAAACATAGCTCTATAGGACAAAAGGCTATTTAGCATTCATAAAGCAAAAGTTCTCAATGTCATTCTAAAGCTTCAAGCAGACCCTGTTTTAATATTTCAGCAATTTCTTTCCAAACCCAAGCAGACCAGGGAAAAAATTAAACAAAAATTGAACATTCGCAGAGACAAAGAGGCTAGTTTTATAGCTTAAAAAAAAGCCCAACAACAAACTTACATCACTGCAATCAAAGTTCGGCTGGGATAATGGTTCTTCAGTGAGACTTGACCTTGCAAAAAGACTATTACTTTGTAATCCCAGATGACGAACTGGTGTTGCTCCTTTGCGCAATGGAGTATTTGCGGGCAAAGTTTCATCAAATATTTCTGGGCTTAGAACTTCTCCAAATGTAACTCTTTTTTTCTTTGGCTTTTCGGAGCTACGTCTTTCAGTTTTCTCTATTGTAATAAAATACATAGATTGCTTAGTGAACTTGGAACTTTCATAGAGCAGAGACTTTCCAAGGTCTTTTTATGGGTCTTAATATTCTCTTAAAAATCACACACACACCCCAACAGCAAAATACCACCTTCACATGTCCTGTGGATTCAACCAGAATTTTCAGTATAGCTTTATCATGGTATCAAAAATCAAGGAAGAAACAAAATTGAAGACTACAAATTAAAAGCTTTTCCACAAGTTCCAGTTGGCAAGAGTAGAAACTTGCGAAAAATAAGTGATTCTATGCTGGTATTCGAGACTTCCTTAATTTTTGGTAGGGTTTTTTTTTTTTTTTTAATAGATTTTATTTTCCTTGGCAACCTTATTTTCCACTTCATGCAGTAGGATGCCACACATGAGCTACTTCAGTGGCGGTTAATGCATATCATTCTTCAGATTTACCGAAAAGGCAAAAATTCATGACCCCACACAATGCTCTGCCTATTTAAAAAACAAAAGGGCGATCTGACCTGTCTGCAGCTCTTCAAAGATTTCTGCACAATTGGAGACAGCGAGAGATTCACCTCCTCCTCTGTCAACTGCATCGTTCGGGTATTCCTATCAAATTTAAGTGATACAATCAGCTATTCAGTACCATTTAATTAAAGTATCATCCTTGTTAAAATCAAAAGTGAAAATAACTTTTTCTGTAAGCAACATTTAATAATCACTCCTATTGTTTCAAAAATCTGCTTGTTTTCTAAATGAATAAAAGTCAGCAACATACATATGGGTCTTCTCGTAACATGAAAGCTTCAAACAAAGCTTCCAAGATGACCAAACAGCAAATATCCGTTGACAGCATTAAATTATTTCTGATGCATGTCAATTAGTCAAAAAGTATCTTTAACCACAATCCAGCTTCTGGTAGTTCAACAATGACAGAATGTAGAAGTTCATCCTTAGTATCAGGACCTCCATGTAAGTCAGTTAACCAACCTGCGTGCTATCCACTAGTTGCTCCACTGGCGTTTTCTTCAATACAGATCGCAGGTGGGAGCCATTCTGTGTATGTTCATTTAATGAAATATTTCCTGTTCGTAGTGGTGTGATAGGTAGCTTGCTTTCATCAAATATTTCCAGGCTTGCTTCTTCTGCAAAACTAACTTTCCTTCCGCTTAGATCGGATACAATGTTACCTCTAATGTCTGTAGTGATGTGATCTGAACTGCAAACTTCAGAGCAAGTATGGATATGACAATTAATGACTGAAGTAAAATTGAGAAGACTTTAGTATTAGCAACATGAAATGTACACATCTCCACAGATTCTGTAAAAAAAATCCATTCATTTCTAAATTTCTGCTATTACTGTGCCACATTTACATTTCTTATTTTGAGAAATATACAAAAGGAAAAAGGGACCACTGCATGAAGGAAAAAACATTTTGCGTAAGGATTTCTCTCTCACCCACGTAAACTGTGGAAGAAAAAAGAAAGTACTCTCTAATGTACATACAGAGGGACTCTGTACATTAACATCCCCGACTCCTTCACAGGCATGAACTACTCAGCTACACTTTTCCCTAAAAATGGCCTAATAGCAAAATTAAGGAAAACTCTGAACAATTATTTCCAGCCTGCATCTCAGTTTGAGCTTGCTTTTTCTATCAGAATCAAACTGCTAACATACCACCCAAGAGGCCCTACCCCACCTTCCAAATATCTCAGCTCCTTTTATAAAAGCTATTTCATTCCTATGAGTTGTGCTTAAGTAAAAACATGTTTAATGCTATGCTGTACTGAATCAGCGCCTAATTCAGTTTTTAAACTGGGGCTTGAGCCTCCTCTGCAGCAGCACGTGAACAGATCATTATTTGCAGTACTTTTTTTTTGCTCCCCATCAGCCTTTATGTCAAAGTTGTATCAGGTTTCTACTGCATTGTAAACTGTAGACAAGATGACAGACATGGGATGACTGCTTGTGAAACACTTCCTCACAAATACTCTAAGTATTTTTACTTTCTAATAAGAATATAAAAAAGACTATAGTAGTGATGAATCCTCTTACCATGGCCTGTTTCTAAGATATCTCTAATTAGAACAGCCTCCAATGACTCAGTAGGATTATGTTGCTCATAAATCCATTCCTAGAGAAAAGTTACAAGATTATATACATGTATGTGTATATACATCTCATTTATTTATATACACACCCACACAACACAGTATCGAAATAAAAAGCTACTTGCAAATGTTGCCTTTTAAAATAGCATGAACTATGAAGTTTCTTAATCCCATAGACAAGGATTTCAGAGTTTTCTCAATCATCCACTACTTCAGTTGAATTTATTTTCCCCAAACAACAAGGCTAAATACTTCAAAGGATTAGACATCAAATGGTGGTCCAGCACCATCAGAGGACACACCTAACAAAACAGACCCCATCTTCACTGTTTTTATATATGACACCAATAAAAACCTCACTAGAGATACTTATACAGAAGACAAACTAAATTCTCCATCTCTATACAAGTATGTCCTTTTTTTTGCAAGGAATATCAAATAACTGCCAAACAGATAGAAGGTGAAGATTAAAAACTGCATTTGAAGTAATCCCAATGATCAATAAAGTTGGTTTTGACATCTGGAAAAAGCTGTATTTGCCATATCTGTGGAGCTGATCTCTCACATAGTTACAGCTGTTGTTTCAAAAGAATTAAGATATATTTAAATTTTATTAATAGACTAAAATAACCTTTTTCATGTGGTTATAAGAGTATAATCTTACTGAGTAGAACAGTTTACAGCATCCACATTGAACACTGGCATGTAAAAGAAAACTGAGCGCAGCCTCAGAAGACCCAGCAGCAGGGATCTGAGGTTAACCTATATTCTCTGTCAGTCCAAACGGATCAGTGTCCATGCCAGATTTTGCTTCCTTTGACAATGTAAATTTCTTACGAGATCTGCTGTGCTATTTGTGTTCTCCATGTTCTTTGCCCACCCTTCTATAAGTACCTTTGTACTGGCAGCAACAGGTTCAGTGACGGCCACATCCTGGCGTGAAGACGAGATGCTGCCCATCTTGGTATCAGACTTACTGCTGTTGGTCAAATTTTGTCTTAAATTTTCTTTCAAATCAGCTCCACTGTTGTCCGACATGAACTTTTCACTCCACTGATCCAGATTCTGCTCTGTTGTAAAAAGTACTTTGTTCAGAGCTACAACAGTTAATAACAAAACACAAACCAAACAACTGACCACAAAGACAAACTTCAGATTTTTCAATGAATGCTCTTTTTGTGTGTCTTCACCAAAAGCATGGTGAGATTCTGAAAGCTAAAACACATGCATTTTTTTAGTTCTACTTTGAAAATAACATTACCAGATCTTCAAAACAACGCAAGTTATTCTTTTCATATAAAAGTTATTAAGACCATCAACACAAGAAGTAAAACACTGTAGTTTGTTTTACACTATCATCTTCTCACAGTTACCATAGTATGCCCTGACTTGCTTTTGCAATACTTGCTATTTTCGTTAAGAAATAAGGATGTAAACACCACAGTAATGTGATGTGGTTTCTCAAATTACTGCACTTAAAAGTTCTTAAACAAAAGTCTGCACACCACAATCAAGAGAAATAACCATTACAACAGCTAAAACCAGTTGTCATAAAAACCATTCTCAGTTTCATGGAAAAAGCGTGAAAACGCTAACGCTTAGTGAAAAGTAAATTCAATGGTATAAATCAAGAAAGTAAAACTAAGTAAACAGACACAAAGAAATACTACTCTTTGTTTTTCTTTGCGGGTTATTCTGAGAAACCGTAATTCAGGATGCACTAAGAAATAAGATGGATTTAAACAAACAAAAAAACCTCAAACCAACACAAAAAACACCTGTGCCAATCCTTATATCTGAAGATTTTTTTGTTTTATATGAAGTGTTTGTAGTTTCGCACTTTTTGGCCTCAAGAAGGACCTGATGCTTAAGATCAATCATTGACCAGAAATACAATCAACTCACGAGAGCCTGCTTCCTGGGAAGCGTCATCCACTTGTGGCAGTCCAGAGAAGTCAGCCTCCACTTCAGCTTCTTCTACTGATTTAAAAGACGTTTGAAAGGCATCTATCTTGTCCTTCAACAACCTGACATTCTCATATTTAAAAGGACTAACCTGCTAAGACAAAATTGACCTCATGAGACATTTTTCCCCACCCAAGATGACACGGGCTTTATTACTTTGTATTTGTACTTCAGCATAAAACAAACTCAGAGAAGAAGCAAATCTTGTATTTCATATGGCTGCTATTTCAGTTGTACAGTAAAAATACACAAAAACGGAACTGTATCAAGAAACCTGCTAAGTTTTACTGCCTTTCATAATCTGTCCCTCCAGACCATATCCAGAATTTGTTTTCTGACAGCCTATGCTAGTTTGAATTAAGAACAAGTCTGATTAAAAACCAAGTCCCTTATGGTAGTTTTTACCTCACTTTGAACTATCAACACTTTAATTAACCAAAAATCAAGCATGGCAAATACAGACAAGTAAAGGTTATGGTAAATAAAAGTTACTATCTATGAGCAAGCTAGACATGGAGACAAGACTCCAGACTCTACACAAACAAAACTTCTAACATCCACTTATTCTGAAGTAAGGTGTCCAAGGGAAGCCCACAAAATTAAGGCCTTGGTTATTCCTTCTACTGGCTTCTTCCCAAAACCTGCCTTCTCCTTCTGCCAGCGTACGTTGATTCCTGGGGGGAACTAAACTGACAATTAGATGTTTGAGAAAGACTCTCACCTGTGTAAAGGCTGCTTTTTGCCTGTTGCTTCTCTGTTCGGCAAGGTATCGAATAAGACTGTTATTTTCTGGTGACCCCCGTATTCCAATTGTTGATCTTCGTCTAAATTTTAATGGAGTTGAAGACTTACCTGAAATGGGGACAGGAGGGGGGGGGGGACACGACATTGTTTTTGTAAGAATACCTAAAGCTTTAAAATGGTAATTTTTTTTCCTTTTTGTTTTAAGAGTGATTTATGCTATTTACGAAAACATCCAAAGTTAGCTGCTCAGCTCAAGAAACCTTCCTGAGCAAAAATAAATTAACTTCCTAAAAGCAAGTTCGTATTTAACTAAACTATATACTAAGTGAAGAGCTGTCTTTTTTGTTACTTTTTCAATTACTAGTTAAGAAACTGCCTACCAATACTTGCAGAATTTGTCTTACTACTCCCTTGTGAAACTCATTGACACCTAATCATCTGGACAGGAAAGAGTTAAATAAGGAATTACAGCAACATCATATCACCGTTCTATACTTGGGCATATTCAAACTCCGACAGACAACCCAAACCTGACCTAAACTGAAGCTTCTGGTAAGAGGTTGGACTAGATGACCTCCAAATGTCCCTCTGAGAAGGACAGAAGTCGTTCGTCACTATAGCCTTACCTATAGATTGTTTAGTAAAACTTTCTTGAGTAATTCCAAATTCAGCAATTGTTACAGTTGCAAAATCAACAGGTTTTCTCCTCTGTTTCTCTGATACTCCACAATCAGATTTTTCTTCTGCTTTGTCCCTATTAGGTGTCAAGTAGCATTCATCCCCCAAAGAAACAGGTCTAATTCTTGAAAAATTTTCCATACTGTTCAAGGGCAAGGTATGTTCACCAGCCATATCCCCTTTTAGCGTATCAAAAAAGCACTCAGTAAACTGACAGCCAACACCACCCTCCTTCTTGTGGTACGATTCCTTCTCAAGGTCCTTGGTGAATTTCAGAGTGCATTTCTGCAACTGAGCCTGGCTCCCATCTCTTAAATTCTCCTTCTTGGATGCCTTTATGACTTTTGATTTAGCCACTTTGCAAATCTTCCGGTCTTCTGACAAGTCAGGTAAAGAGGCCTCTTCCTTCTCTTCAGTATATCTGTCCTCATTTTCTTCAACTTCCAGGGAAGCATTTATATTCTTAGATTGTCTGTGCATTGTTAGTGATCTATTTTAAGAAACATTCAGTCAGCCTTTGCTCTCTTGTAGTTACAGACAGCTATCGAAAAGAAAAAGAGCTTATTAATACATATTTGCTAAGAGCAAGACTTAGCTACCATTCTCAAACTTCCACCCAGTCTGGGTTTTTCCTGGCATAAGGTGTTTATCAGCGTGGTGGCAAGGGAAAGTCTCACCTCCAGAAAGCCAGACACGGCTAACACTGCAACGAAAAATGCACAGCGATACCGACCTGCCTCAGAAGCGTTTCACAAGTAAGGAAATACAAGGCTATGCCTTTGCTGCTTATCAAACTTAAACTTCATGTTAGCATAAAATAGATTCAGCTCAGTCACACTGTAACCGTTTTGCTAGAAGTGTTGCAACAAGTATTAGCAGTTTAATTGGAAAATTTAAGACGCTAACATCTTTCACGTTTAGTTGCTTGGATTTTAGGTTAAGAATGTAGAATTCCATAACATGACTCTGAAACTTCGGTTCCACCAACATAAGCCTTTTTTGCTATTTTGTGTAACACAAACCGTTAAAACACTGTGTGCGCAACTTTTTGAAGTCCACACTACAAACTGATGCCTGCATCAACCCGGTTACACCGACGAGAGACAGGGCCGTGCGAGGGATCGGTGTCCAGCATGAGCCCCTTCCCACGCACCCCGCTCCCCGGGCCCCCCAACCCCCTCAGCACTCGCCCCCTCAGCACTCG